AAATCGGTTCGTAGGTTCGTTCCCCACCAGGTCCAACATGTTGATTTTTCAATTTATAATTTTCCTGAAATATGGACCACCGTTCAGAGATGAAATGGCCGTGAAGCTTAATCGCATTTCCGTTTCAATCTGTGGATTTCCGAATATCCAAAGTCAAAATAGGTCGACAGCGTATAAATAATTTTTAAACGAGTTTAATTAATATATTAAACCGTTAGTGTTTTATTTAAATGTGTAGTACTCGCGTAAACTACAGACAGTGTTAACCTTTGATTTATTAAATATAATTTGTACAATAAATTAAGCGATAATGTTCTAGCTGTGAGCCGTGTATAATAAATAAATACAATGGCGATAATCGCGACAGACAAGTTTGCTATATTTGGTCGGCAGTTTTGCCAGTTCTTGTGTTGTGCATTGCGGTACATTTGCTAAGTTTATACGAGGTGAGGTGTGTTGGATCAATCATTGAAGTAAACGAATACACCTTGTGCGGTGTAACTTGGAGTAATCCTGTCAATTGTTCTCGACAATCGAATCAGTAATGAGTTTTGATGTACCTATGACTACGCCTCAATATTCAAACTATATTTTATAGTTCTATAGTACCTAAGTCTCACCAAATGTTCAACAAGGCATTTATATTACAGACTGAGAATTTAATTAAAAAAAGATGAAATAGGTACTCACTGTAGTTTACGCAAGTAGTACACATTTCAATAAAACACTTTTAACCTTGGAAAGAACTGACTTTCTTTTGCAACGTTTTTTGACTTGTGAATAAGTTTAACCAACACATTCCACGTTTCAAACCGTTAAAAGTGTTTTATTTAAATGAAAAAAATACTAACTAACAAAATATTTAAACACAGACGGAAATAATATCAGAAAAGGATTTTGAGCACAGCCTTAAGATAACTGCCACTAATCCAATTAAATACTTTCCAGGATTTCATTATTAATTAATTAATGGAAGGCAATTTTAATCAAATTGTAGTTAGAATGTAGAGTATTCATTTCTATAAGACATGATTTGTAGTGAATCGTATTGTTGATAAAAATAATAACTACATTAACGAAATAGTCAAACAAAAGACACGACACTAATTTGCCGCCACGACACCGACAGAGGGCAATTTGTAACCCGGTCGTGGTGTAATTTCACAGATTCAATTTGACGTCAATATTAGACTAGTTAGTCGCGTTCCTTGAGCACGTAATTCGATAGCACCAGGGACCATGAATAAAATAAACGACAAGATGCAACGTACAATGCGATAAATATTCGAAGATTACCGCCTCCTTCCGAGTTTTACATCGTAGGCTGGCTATTAAAGAGGCAGTGAAAATTTAAGAAATGTTCATCGTTAAAAACCTCATGTTTTGAAGATTGAGTGAAGAATTATTCAGAAATAGAATATTCTCGGATCATTTCAGGAATGAAATGTATATCGCATTTGAATTTTTACAAATTAAAACAATCACAGACAGACAATGACGGGGTTCACTCGATGGCGCTACACAGACAGACTTTCTTTTCGCAAAGTCTCCCCGTGACCACGGCTGCTGCAAAGCATCCGAAACGTCGGGCCGAAGTTAAAAATCATTTTCAAATAAGTTTAACTAATATATCGCGTTTTAAACCGTTAAAGTGTTTTATTTAAATAGTATGCTTAATCTTTTTTAAAGAATAATGAGTAATTACAAAACACTATGACAAGAATCGGCGCGCTTGAGGTAAATAGCGGCATAAAATTTGTACGATATTCTCTCGCTGTAGGATACATCACGCGCCTGCGCAGCGAAGCATAAGCTCCACAAACTGGAGAGAGCTGTGCTCCGTATATATTAATAAATTAATAATGATTATATGGAATTCCGCTAGACGCTAGTGAGAGAGCGAATTAAGATTATACGTCAATGTATGCCGCTTATTTTGTCTCTATTTTATTGACAGACGGATAACGACAGACAGAATATTTAAACGACAGAGTGTAAGAGTGAGAAGATCTAGATCTATCTCTTTTATGTATCTAAGTGATCAGGCTTTTCTTTTGCACTCCTAATGGCATATGTAATAATAACTTGATCAAAAACTCAAAACAATTCTTTATTATTTCTCGCTGTCAATCCAAATAGAAGAGCAAATTAAAATGTCATAAAAAATACTCAAGAAATTATTTTTACAAGCGTTACAAGCTTTTATATTTTTTTTAATTTATGAATAAATACTTGTAAAATAACAATGTATATGTTATACAACACGAAACAGCATAAACGCCGTAAATTATTCAATACTAATTGTCCCTGACTTTATCTTAATCAGAAGTCGGAACAGCGTGCAACCTATTTTCACATCTAGTCAGTAAGATATCTTAATTAAATATGCCTCCTCTGATTAGTTCTGCAACATGATATAAGAATTGTCTGTAATCGGCGTATAGTACACATTTAAATAAACTTAGCGGTTTAAAACGCGAATTGTATTATTTTAAGTAAATTAAATTTATTTTAACTATAACTCGACGTTCTGAAAGCTTCGCAGTGGTCACGGAGGCACATCATTGTTTGTCGGGCCGTTGTTAAGTTAAGTTCAGTTAAAAAATGTTTCATTCATACATTTTTGTTTAACGACGTTTAAATTCGAGGATAAATGTTTTCTAGATAGTTCGTACATCGATCTTGTTCGTCATGGAAAGTAACAAATTTTACCTATTAACGTAATGTGTAAGAACTGAAATATATGATTCCCTCCTGTACTATTTTAAAGCATGCGTAGTTAGCATTCTACTGTAAAATTAATAAAAAATTAGTACTCCAAATACTCCCTTTAGCGGAACGGTGTAATATCGAGATAAAATTAACAATAATTTTTTACGCGTACCAACATCGGAACGATTAAAAAGATAGCGATCTAATCACATGTGAATAATTATATCTGACTTACACTAATTTTTCTTCGCTCTTGAACTTAAGATCTTAAGCGCTGCAGCGCTGCACATTGAATACATAATTTTACATAAACAATATGCAACTTTTTATTTAATTCAATAAAAATATACATATGTGTATATTATTATGACATGGCTACATTTATTTAGTTATAATAAAAGTATTTTAAGCTGATGTTAAGAAATTACAAAGGCGCATGTGACTATAATCTATGCTATTTTTGTAAATCTGTCTCGTCAAATAAATGTCAAATCTCGCGCGTTTCCTAACATAACGAATTACAGGTAGAGTCTAGGAACGTCTACTAGATGTTTTATTTAAAAGCTCTTCCAAACTAAATCATCATAAACACTTTAACTCCTGTCTTATGCGAGTAAAGACCTCTTCCCAACACTGGGAAATTTAGCTAGCTCTTTTCAACAAATTAATTAATTTATTTATTACGTGAGTAGTATTTAAGATGAAACCAAACGGGTAAGTAGTTCTTATATATTTTTTTTGTTTTGATACATAAATAAAAATCTCAAATATTAAAAGCGCTTTCAGCTCAATCCAGTAACAGAGAAATAATCTTGGCTCGTGTCAGACTACGGTGCGTGAACAATCCGCAGACACCACGTAGTAATTATACATTGTTTTACATTTAACCTACTTCTTATATAAAACATTATGTTCAAATAATAACCGTTGTAGATGTACACGGTTGTGATTAGCTACTTATTTTGGTCAAAAATTTAAACAATTAATTCTTTAAAAAAATTTACGACATTTTAAAAAGTATTTTATCTCCAACCCTACAAAAATGAGACTGAATTTTATAATAATAATTTGCATAGATTAGCACATGCCGTCTGTCAGCTCAAGAAACTTAGGTATGCTAGAGCAGTAATAAAACTGTAACCTGAAATTCGACACGAATCCATGTCATTAAAGCGACAGTTGATTAAGTTTTTTCTCAGCTTTTTATCATAATTAGGCTCCATTTTGGAGCGACATTCGAAGCTGCTTTGTAATACAGTTACATTTTCTTTTCCCTGAGTGACAATTTTAAGTTCATATTAAGTTACGAAATTTGATCGTTGTCGCGATGTTGATAATCTATAAGAAACACGTAAAAAAATGTTCCTTGTTTATTAGTTTGGCGTAACATTACATACGCAAGTTCTTGGTCGTGATCAAAAATAAAAATTGGTGGAATAAAATTGGAATTAGTTATAACAAAGTTCTTGCAGTCATTGCAGCTAAATTAAAGCCCATATATGATCCATTAATAAGAATTTACAATAAATGTATATTTATCAGTTTTATTTAAATGACTAACGTCGTTCACTTATATTATAAGATTCAGCATTCAATTTTCTAACCTCAAAAACTAATTAAGGATTAACTGCTTTCTCTAATTTTAATATTTTACGATCTAATCAAAATCTTTCCAATTATTACGTTAGAACTAGTGCAATTAATTTTATATTCTCATTTTCATCCATATTCATTGTATAGCATTTTAAATAGGTTCGTTACCGAAATGAATTCGTAAGAAAGTTTATCGTAAAGACTTTAAACTAACTATTATTTGTTCTTATCGTACAGACGGACTTATTTTGAAATTCTTCTTCACTTAGATACTTCACTGAATTATATTTATATTACCTATATCGCTCTACGTGCTAATGTTACTGGCATAGTAATCGTTGCTCTATATATAAACTATGTACGGCATGACTTTCGTGTTTATGAAGAAAGTGCAAACTGAAAAAGCAAGTCACGATAACAATTCCCAAGCAAACTCGACTCTGTGTCAGCGAAAAAAATCTGAGAAAATCACTCATTGACACAGCCGCACTCGTTGATGTCTTTAGTATGTGCGCTTCGACAGAGCTTTTGTTACCGCTCGTATCTTGATAGTTAATTAAAGCCAAAATTACTTTTTACCACTATAGACATACGAAAATCTTTACAAAAAATGTGGGACGGATTAAAAATTTATACCGGCATACAAATCACCGTTGCATCGATTTCGAATAAACAGTTACACAAAATGGACTCACCGATAAGAAAAGTTTATAAATTCCAGTGAAACGCAGGACACAACACAAGGTGCGTTTTGCAAATAGAACGGTAAGGGATGCGCCACGCACGTGTCGACATGTGTTAGAGGTGACGCGACGTGTGGTCAGATCGGCGGCCGAGAGAGACTGGCGCGCCGATGCGTCTGGGCCGCACCTGCCGCCCGACCCCCGCTCATAGGCAGGTGTATTATCGATGTCGATAAAATATTTCTCATTCGTACTCGCGAGTTCTCTACGTATGCTACCCTTAGTTTTACTACTTATTGCAAATATACGTAGGGTTGTTGCAGCTGTAAGCCATATATCATTCGCAAGGCAATTACAGCAAAAAGGCGGAGCCTGTTTTGGAAAATTTGAACAATATTTCTTTATTTTTATATACCTCTAAAAACTGAATTGAAAATGTTTATAACAATATTCTAGAGTATAGACTAGTCTTGCATTATCTCGATCGAGATTTTCCTTATTTACAAGATATATATTTATATTTCATCATTGCATTACATTGGTTGGTCCTTTCTTTGAGTGTGCACTCAAATTCAATATTGCCGTAAAACAGAATTATCGATTTCGATAGTACATCACTCTACATGACACGAGCAAACTGCGTACACCGCTGATCAAATTAATTACAGCCTCATCTCGCCGCCAAAATAATATTTCCTACTCTACCGCGGCCTGAAGTTTTTCCATCTCTTTCGAACATGTGATGTCAATATAGTATTATAGTGTACCCTTCTCATTCCAACATACAGTTACCTCGCGCGTGCCGAACAAACGGAAAGTTTTCACCTGTAACTTGTGAATGAACGAAGTCGGTGTCTTTGATGTTTACAACAATGATTGACAAATATACAAGAGTACAGACAAGAAAAGGCACTATTTCCGTACCATAGAGTGGCTATTTGAACGACGAATATTTCCTTTTATCTAGGTCGAATAGTAAACGTAGTATTACTGTAGTAGACAGATTACTAATTCTGGCAAATATTAAAATGACATTTCTTAGTTTAATATTCTATAGAAATTTGACATGTTGTTCTTTAGCTCTTAGTATTGATCTAATGTCAAATAGAAATTATAAACTTATTGTGATTAAAAATTACATTGAATCTTTCTCATTTTATTCGTACCAAAATATAACAATTTTAAATAGGACTGCACAATATCTTCCATCCAGGGACTATGAATTTTCTGTCTCCTTATATCTGTAATAATTAGAAATTAATTTTAAAAATATTGATCTGCATATGTTATTGCACTAAAAAAGTTACTTGTTAGCTTCTGGGCGTAAATGAAGTAGAGAAATTGCCTTCAATTAAATTCTGTTCACGGCTAAAGCAATTTATTACAAAAAAAAAATATTGCAATTGACCAGCGGACACACGGACAAAAATGTTTTCATCCCGTGTCCCACAAGGGTTTTACAATAACAGCCATAAGAATTGAGCTTCTTTGATCATAAGATATAAGCATGCAGTTGAGAAAAAAATATTTTCCATATACATACTTGCATGACACACATGTATAGAAGACTGTTTGCCCTTCATCAGCAGACCTTAACTGAAGTGTAGCATAAGACATGCGATCACAACCGCATTTGGGACATTTTCTTTCAACAACAGGGCCCTCTGGATTATCCAAATTTAGAATATTTTCATTTGCTATTACTGACACTGTGTTGAAATTTATTGTGTACTTAAATTTTAAATTACTGAATTCTGAAACAAAAATGACATGGTAGGTTTTATTTCAATTATACTTATCTCACAGTTTTTTTGTTTATTAATAATAGCTCTGATAAGAACTAAGATTAATTTCTGTTTATCTTGTTTCTTTCTTACCCTAATATAATCTAAAATATAGACAAGAAAGATATAAAAACACAATATACAGGCAAGGAGATGGTCAGTAGAGAAATTCAGTTTACTACATTTCAAGCTAAGGACCTTTCCTGCCCAAAGAAATTCAATTAGACATTGCAAACATTAAATAGGATTATAGTGAAGTGTAACTACTTACTCTCTGGTTCATATATTGCTTTGCAGGCATAACATTTGACTAGGCCAAACTCTTTTAACAAGGGCAAAATTGATCCACATCTAGCACAGAAAGCTGTGGTGCTAGTAAATGGGCCCACTTCAGACATATTGATTTACTAAAACTTAACTCTTTAATGTTGATAATTTTCCAGTGCACACAGCCTAGTGTTTTAAAAGATTTGGTTAAAAACTGGTGTTAGGAGATAACCTATGAAATATGAAATTTCTCTCCACTTTTATTTACTGTCCGCTTTATATAAGTAACAGTAATTCGGAATATATAACTAGGATAAAAGTGAAGTATTATTATTTTATATTGTTTTTTGGTAACAAGACTAGGTGTTACGAGGCATGCTAAATACAACCGGCAGAACATTTGATTTTGATAATTGACACTTGACAGCGTCCGTAGTCTGTGGGCGTGGTGAAATCTTAGTTGTTCACAGATTGCAACCGAAGCTACGCCTTCTTAAGGGTTATGATACATAAAGGTGCGAAATATTAATATTTATTTAGATCTTTGTTTGTCCCTCCATCAGTTCATGATTTGCCCGAGTGACACCTGGGCCCTGCTTCCTAGTCTTAATAAGTCAGTGCATCCCTGCTCTACACATTATAAGGATTAATTTCATTTTTAACAGGGTGAAACTACAGATTCCGTTAGTCGATAGATTAAATCAATTTATTTTTTTCAGGAAAGAAGAAAAACAATAAGGTGACTTTATAAACGATAATAGTAATAAATAGAGTGTAGTTGATACCACAGACGACACAGAGAAAAATAATCATCGAGTATTTATAGAAGAATGATCTCAATATTAAAAATCACTATTATAGCGATATAGTTAATTTTTATCACATATAAGAAGTGAGAATGGATTTTTAAATAAGGCAGAGTGGAGTTTTGAAGGCAAAAAAAGTTAACCTGCATCAACTTTTTTCACATAATAAAAGTTTTAAAATTGCTGAAATTAAAGAAGACATGACACTTGGCAAAAACAATAAACCATGTGATTAGGCAAAAAACAATAAACCAATTAGATGGCATTATGGATGCAGCATTATTAATTTATTATTATTTTTATTCAATTGATAATAGTGATGCAAGTAATTAATCTCTGTACTTTTTCATTGTATTATCTCACAATAAATACTTCAATACACCTTGTTACTTTTGTTTTTGTTTTAATAAAAGTTACGATTAATTGCGCTCATAAATCGTAATCGTTTCTTTACACATATCTTTGGTAATGTATATAGGGGTTCTTAATCTGTGGTCATCCGTGAAACATTTTATAGGTGGTAGTGACGCGTTATGTTTACGTACAATATTTAAATATTAATATCAATGTTATATTCATCGTGTTTGTATTACAATAATTATTTTCTCAGTATAGAATTTTAAGTAATATCTTAGAGTGAGAATAACGTAATAAGTCACTATATAAAGTTAGAAAACCAATATCGGCATATTCGAGAACGGTACGTATCGAAAAATCATCTAAACAATCCAAGAAATGCATTATATGCTAAATTTTCACAATTACTTACGTAAAATTGTATTCATATACATGGCTGTTTTAGTTTCAAACACTATATTAAAAGACCTTTTTTATTATTACAAATACGTACCGGCGTTTAAACTTTAACTCTTACCCTCCAGTTTACTGCATTAAAGCGTCATGGATGTCCCTATGGTGTCATTTCCACAATCAATGGAATTTCCACCGGCTGACATACCGATGGATACATTACAAGCAAATGAGAAACCGACTCCACAACCAACAGAAATAACAGGTCCGCAAAGTGGTAGACATGAAGAGTTCTCTGTGGAAAAAGTCTTGGATAGGAGGGTTAAAAATAACAAAGTTGAATATCTCTTGAAGTGGAAAGGTTACTCACAGTAAGTTATTATGTAATGGTTAATAATCTATGACTTGTTACAGTAAATCTGAAGCATAATCCTGACATTGGGATTTTTTTGATTGAGATAAAAGAACAGTAAAACCATGAAATTATCATTTAATGAAAGTAATATAAATATATATAATTTCAATTTCATTAAGTATGGTAAAATATTCTTAATCAGTGACGATAACACTTGGGAACCAGAAGATAACCTTGACTGCCCTGAATTGATATCGGCTTACGAGGAAGCTAGGCTTAAAAGGGAACGAGAAACTCCAGCACCAGCAGAAGCTGCAGATGAAGGCCAAACTACAAGAAAACGATCAAAAAGGGGTGATAAGAAGAGAAACAAAGTTGAGGTACATATTTTTGATGTTGTTTCCTTCAAGTAATAAGTTTGTTTATGCTTAGTTTCATAACTTATGTACAAGTGAAGCTTACAAATGCAATATAATATGAGGCTGCTAGGGCCAGAGTAGCCTAATTGCAATTATATGACTTGACTTAATTATATTTTTATAAAAATGTTGAAATGAAACGAAAATAGTTAACAATAATACTTACACAAATAATAGTATAAATTTATTTTCGTTTTATTCATTTATTTATCATGTTTTTTGTTACTCCACTCTGGCTCTAGCAGCCTCATATATTATCCTGATATTTACCAATTGTTTATTTATAAAGACAGTCTTACAATTAGAAATCCAATCTCTTTTCAGGAAATAGAAAAACCCAGGGGCTTAGCACGTGGTCTTGCTCCACAGAAGATATTGGCTGGTCAGCTCTTTCACGGATCTCTATTCTTCTTAGTACAATGGTTGGTATCTTAGAGCATTTACTTACCTTAGCTTAAATTGTGCTGTAGTGTGCATTAAAATTTTTATTATGTTTTAAGTATTGTCTGTAGTATTATACATTAAAAAAGAACACTAAACATTTTTTTAACACAAATCACATTAGTTATCTTATTTCTAATATCTATCTACCTACATCCATTACTACTATGTACGACCTTTCCGATGGTAGCTGCAAAGCATCAAAGTTAAAATAAATTGCTTGCATGTTTAATGTTATATAATAAAATATATACTTGTCATAGCAAGATGCCTAATGTAGACGGTCTTTCCTATCATCTGTTTTGTGAAAAGAAAAGTCTTTTCAAAAGAAGTTTTGTATATTTCTAAACACTACTGTTACTACCTACTACCGAAGTCTGCTAGACTATTGTATCTCCCTAACTCCACACTTTGGACAACTCCCTTATTAATGACACACTAAGATGTAATTTTTTATTATTTAACTTATTTGTACAGAGCCTCAAATGCAGGTTATAAAATAAGGACTTGACAACTTACAAATATGACTACGATCATTATTTATCTTATTAATAAATTTGTCTATTGTTGTTTTCTTGTTCTTTTGTTTCAGTGTCTTCAGGGACAGGTCTTTTCCTATTAATTTGAAACAAATATATCATTTTCAGGGAAGGCTGCACAGAAATGGATGTTGTGCCTGGCCATGAACTAGGTCAGGCCTACCCTGACTTTGTTATTAGGTATTATGAGAGCTGTGCACCATTTAGCGTCAGGCATCCTGTAGGATTGGTACCTAGGGCTGCTCCTGAGGTAAATTTTAAGGCAACAATTCTATTAACTCATTTAGGTACCATTAAACTAGTGTATTTTTTCATACTTGGCATTTTTGGTAAACACACAATTTACATGAAATTGTAATTTTCTTATAAGATTTACAATGATTCACATTAAAAACATTTTGAGGAACTGAATTATATATTAGCTAATGAACTACCTCAAATTCATTGAGTAAAAACGAAAATTCCATGCTTAAATTAATAATTAATTAATTAAAAATGAATTCATACAAATGCACAGATTAACATTTCTTTAGTTTGACATTTGCATATAAGGATGGGATGTTAGCAAAATCAATGACAATATAAGGTAGAAGTGTCTCTCATGCACGATCGCTGAAAAACGTTACAAACATCGAGTTAAACAATAATGTTATAAAAAAAGTCGACATACATACACAATATTGACATAATTTAATGATATTATGATAGTAGAAGAGCGACTAATTAAGATTCTTGCTTTATATAGTTAGCTTGCTTACAAAAATTTACAATTATGTATAATTTTTCTCTGATTTATTTGTACTGTCTTTTCAGATGCAATCACAGATTTCACAGTTGGAAGCTACAGAGCCAGGTGATGCTGCAGACACACCTATGGATGTAGCTGATACCACTCCTGTCCCTGATAGTACAGATGCAGGTACAAATCTAATTGGTGCCTTATGACATATTACACAAAATAACTACATTTGAAAAAACAGAAATAGTATATAATATATCATGATTAAATATATTTTTTTATCAGAAATAGCGCCTACTGAAGTGACACAACCAGATCAACCCATAGCAGAAACAGAATCACCACCTATAGAAGTTCCTGTTAACTAAGTTAAGATTTTTTTTTAACTAAGTCTCCAAAAACCTCACCTGTAAGCTGTTGAAGAGTTACTATGGATAGGTACTAGTTTTCCATGATATTCAAATAAATAGATTTCTTGTTAAAGCTGCTTATAGAAATTTTTTTGCAGCCAAATCCCATTGTACAAGTACTTGTGACTGAATTTAACTTGAATGTGCAAATGTAAGTCTATTTTTCATATATCATTGTAATTTTACTAATAGATTGGCTATTGGCAACATTATTATATTCTCACGAAACGGGCGTTAGTTATAAAACCTAGAAGTTTTGACAACCAAAAAGCTAATGCACCTTCAATCCCATATTATTGACCGTTATTGTAGATATCCTAGTATTGTTTTTAAGGCAATCCACGTCTATAGGCTTCTCTTAATGGTTTGAAATAATAATCTACAATCAAATCTACTCCAACCATTACATATGCAGTCGCCCCCAGTTATCCTTTCTTACAGCAAGATAGAAAGGAAAGCATGTAATCCTTACAAAGATTAAATATGCCATAAATAAATGTATCGATAAATTATGTACGATAACGTGTAAGTAAGGTTAGAATTTTTGTGATAAAGAGTTTAACGGTGTTTTCATAATAATGCGCTAACACTTAAGTGAAGTACACATTCACACAATTAATGTGTTTAGTATTTAAGGTTTCGTTGCAAAAATATAAACAATGAAATAAAAAAATGTGCTCTTATTTTATTTCAGTAAGTACATATCATAATATTCTAGATTACTATGTAGACCCTGTATAAAGTACTTAAAAATATTAAAATACTTAGTTTCACATTTATTACTTACTTATATTTACTACCTACAATTATATATTTTATTAAAAACACTGCGTCAGAGTTTTTAGAAAGAGATTTTGCTGTGTATTAATCTCCAGGGAAAGCAACATGAGATAAAAGTTAAATTTTTTGATCACTTACACAGTTAAAATTTTGTGTCAATTGTATTGATCGTTATTGAGTACCATAGATAGTAGACGCAGTGGATAAGCTATCGTAGGGCCAAGTGGTGAACTGCACCAGGGCTCGACCTCATCTTTAACATAACGCAAGGGTAAAAGAAACGATGAGAAAAAAGTTTTTTTTACGGTTTATAAATGACTCCGGCCTATTTATATCAATTTGGCTGATCAAGTTTAAGCTTCGTCGGAAGAGGGCACTAATGTTATTGACGAGGGCCCTTGTCCATCGCTTAGTTATTTGATGATTACATTTTCATACCCTTTACTTTTATTTAGTTATATTTAAAAAATACAACAACTAACTATTAATAAAGACGCAAAATCTGTATGTACAATCCGCCATTATACAATTTTAGTTAAAATATACTGATTTTCTTTGGCTGAAAATAATGGGATGGCTCAGGCGATATTAACCAACACTTTGGCTGGTACTTTAAGCAATAACAATGAATGAGGGTAGATCACATTATTTCAATTCAATAGATTAACCTCATAATTTATTGAGAAACGGCGCGATGGAAGCGAAGTCTTCGCATTCGGGGATGTGTTTTCCTTTCAATTCGAGACACGATTCTGCGCACAAATGTCCTTCGAACCAAGCGCCGAGCATTTTCTTGCACTGGGCACAATTTTCTATGCAAATATCCAAGGGGTCGTAACCTGTGGCTGTAAACATTAAATGCATAAAAAACAGAGTTTATAAGGCATTTTTATTTAACGTCTACTTATAGAATGTCAAATATGTAAATATAACGGTAAATTGGCCAAGAAAACATTTTGATATTAAGCGAGAATTGAAATTATTGTATAAATGTATTTGTTTTACCTCGCTCAACATTTTAGTGAACAACACTATTTCTAAAGAATAAAACAAGTAATAGTTGTTTTTCATTGCAGCTTTGGTAACAAACGTATAGAACCAATTTGTTGAGTTTTGTTACACGTTAAAAGCAGTACGACCTAATAGTAAAATTGTAATACTCTGAATATAAGCAAGCATAGATGTTGTCTATTTAATTCAAGGGAATATATTTATTGCAACAAACCAATGGGATAAAACATTTTAAGAGATTACAACGTCAACTATGTTGGTTTTTTTAATATTTTACATTTCGGGGGTTTGAGAAAATGATTTAGTGTTGCAAGTTAAACAGTTTACAATTTTTTATCTTTACTTTCTTACTTTTTTCAAATAAACGTATTGACGATCCCAACGTCGGATGAACAGGTACCAAATACCAATGATCCATCAATAAGTGAGGTCAAGTGTAAGCGTAACGTAAAATTGCGTAAGTTGTAACGCTTCGGCGAAAGTGAACCGGCTAAATGTATTGGGGTCATTGTCTCGGCTCGTCCCTTTTAGCAAATTGTATGTCTCGGTCAAGATACGAGTTAGAAAGGACGCGGTTGATGTTTTGCAAGTTGTTTTCTTGGTATGCCACGCGTGACTCATGGGTTTTACGGTTGGAGTGGTTTTTGGGGAATGAAAATAAGGATTTACAAGAGGCCTAATACATCTAATTTTTCTGGCAAGGAAGGCAAACTCAAAAGATATAACAGTAAAGAGAACGTTGAATATTTTCGGGCAAGACCGTCGTGGTGTTAATGGCAACATTTGAACAACGCACATTAGTAGACATAAACACTGAGTTATTATTATAAATATTTTTAGTTACCAAAAAAAATAGATTCCAAAAAACACTGTGCAGTAACCAAAAAATAACAGTATCATGTTTCAGGAAGTAATAGTTAGCTATTATTATTGCAATTGTCTGGGGATTTTCAAATAAAAACCTAAACATACACAAATATAGATACATAGTTATTGTTTCGTTATTTTTTTAAGTATAGAAAAATACCCGTCTCAGTTTATATAAAAGTAACTACATTACATACAGATTGTCTTGTAATAATTCTTCCGGTCTACGACTTTATTCTTCCTGCATGCCATATGTCTAAATAAGGCAGACCAAACTGGATTTTTAAAAATAAGTACTAAAATCTTATTTAGATTGTACTTCAAAGTGCAGAAACCTTTGAAACGTGTTTGGTAATAATATGAAAGAATAACTGTTTCAATGTGTTTAATCACAAAAATATTGAATATACTAAAAGCTTTTTTATCTTAACCCAATCTAATATATAGAATTCTCGTGTCACAGTTTTCGTTGCCATACTCCCCCGAAACGGCTTGACCGATTTTGATGAAATTTTTTGTGCTTATCCGGTATCTATGAGAATGAGCCAACATCTACGAGCAAAATTTTCATCCCCCTAAATGTTCGGTGTAGTCCACCCCTAATTTTTTTTTAATTTTTAGACAATTTTTTTACAAAAAATCCTTCTTCTACGATCAGCCCTTATTTTTTTAATAGCCATTTTAGTAAAATTATTTATATGGCAAAACAAGGTTTGCCGGGTCAGCTAGTTATAAATAAAATTGTTTACTAAAAATCATTCGTAGTTATACATATTTTTTTTATCTATGTTTACCTTTTTATCGGTTATTGACTTATCATTAAACTATAAGTAAAATATGAATATTTTTTAAGCAAAGGTTTCACTTACCAATAGCAGGATTCGCTTCGACGCTAATAACATTAAATAGCATCGCGGTTGCAGCGAAGCACGTCAGAATTGGTGAAATTTTGGTCATTTTTGGAGAGGCTGAAAATTATAGTCAAGTAGACATTTAGATAGTTTGTGATAAACTTTCTAGCTTACGAAGAAAAAAATTCAGGATTACTGAGAATATTCTTACGACTTTCATAATTCATGAAAATAGTAATAATTATTGTTATTTAACAGTTGTAACATATTAAAAATGTATTAGAATAATCGTGCTTAGAGAAATAACATTCTTACCAATGCGTCGTCTTAAAACTATTTCGATGATAATTTTTTTCTGTGAATCAACACAGGATTAATTGTACAATTTAATTAGAGGCAAACGTGCCTACGTGCTTTTTAACTTATACTAATAATCGTTTGAATATTACACCTTATAAAGATCATTGCGATCTTTCTTCATCATGCCATAATTAACCTATTTTAAATGTTGCGCTGCATAAGTAGACAAGCCCAGTAAATTCAAGTTATTACACAAAGCTGCCGACTTCCGCACTTTTATGTATAAATAGAATGTATATACTGAGTTATGCGCCTGCGCAAGTTATTTTCCTATAGAGCTATTTTATTCATTTCCGTACACTACCAAGTTTATCATGTCCTTTAGTACGTACGGTAAGAATTTTCTAGTCGAATCTCTTAATTTAGTCTCGTGATCTAGTATAATTCGTAAGTTTAAATAAAATATAACTTGATATTAGGTTTTATCGATGTATATAATCTGTATTTGATTCTATTCTTAAGTTTTTAGTGTGAATTCTTTTACTTATAATAACTAAATATTTATTATACATAATTGCATAAAACTATACTAACCTACATCGATATCCTATTACCGAAGAATTAGATTTAATTCCACCTCACAAGCACTGTTTGATCTCGACGTTTAAAATAATTTAAATCCGGAAACAATATGAATTTATACGCGAGCCACACTCCGTACATTAAGGATTTTAGGTCCCTAAATTTTTTCGGAAAATTCGGCTTTATCAGCGACCGACTGTAAATGTATCGAGTTTAAATATGAAACCAGTTGACTATGCTACGCGATGTAGTGGGGCGATGCATACTTAGTGCTCTTAAGAGAATATCTCAGGAAATGTGTTTGATACTTTTTGAAAGCCGAAAGTTGGAGCACTAGGAACTAGGAAGTTATGATGTTATCAATGAGTGGACATGCTCGTTAAATTATAAAAATCTCTCATATATTTTTTGAAGAAGAAGAAACAACACAGAAACTTGTTAGAAACTTGTTGAAACCCCTCATAGAGGAAACAGGATTTCCCAAGATAAAGAAATGTAATCGACATAAACTACACGTAGCTGATAAACTTGTGTGTTATTTTTTTTGATTACTTGGCGCCGATGTTTTAAATATACTTATATGTATTGTATATGTTTAAATAGCTATAGATAGATATTCTACATATCCTGAACGTGGCCCTATTTCTAAATTCGTTGTGTTTGTGTGAAAAAATAATTCTGAGTCTATGATACATGTCCATACTAAGAATAACGACCGGTAACTGGACTGCTTCAAAAGTAGCCCCCGGCGTCCGAGGCAATGTATTGATGATACTGTGGGGGCTATTCCATAACAGTGACAAATATCGCAATATCTCGTGCCAAAGTTCCTTTTGAATCTTTACTGTGTGGATATAGGACACTGAGGTTTGGGGAATTTATCATCATTTACCACAGATATTATTCAGCGTGCATGCTGCCCACTACTCATTTATTATTATTTATTTTACTCACATCGCTACGTATTTTACTGTATTGTAGTTGTGCCCGTGACTTCGTTCGCGAGAAATTGTTATTTTGGACATTAAAATTTGTTTTAATCTAAATAAATCATATCTGTTACCCACGACGTCGGTCGCGTCCCGTCGTTCTTATAAGTTTATCTTAAAAGATAGACATATATCGTCGCGGACACTTTTTTAGGTGATTTAAAGAGGAATCATTCTTTTATAATATTTATTTTATTATCTATATAATTTTTTTCCACATTTTCCTCTGTTTGTAGGATAGCGAGCTGCGATAGCAGGAGTCCTCCTCCTATCGAGCGTGTGTTTTATAGCTTCCTCGATAAATGCTCTAGAGCTAGGACAAAAATAATTTTACAATTCGAACCAGTAGTTTCTGAGATTAGCGGGTTCAAACAAACATACTAATAAGCAAACAAACTCTTGAGATTTATAATATTAGTATAGATGTGTGGAAGTGGATATATGGAGATTTCACTTGTAACTAGCTGTTTATTTGAATCTACGTTGTAAGTCAATATAGGTATGCCTTAATTTTTTATGGGTGCGTCGAGTCACGCGTATACAAAGCTCCGTGTAGTCTGGGTACTTATTTAGGACAAAGGCAATATTTACTTCCGCAATCGAGCAAAAAGTCAAATGTAAATAACCTGTTGATTGCCCTCTGCTCGTTTTATGGCGTCAAGATCGTGTTGCTCTAGCATATGACTGGCCCGCTAACACGCGTCACACTTGGAAACAGGTTTACACGCGTAATGGACGGTAAAAATAAAGTTTATCGCACGCCTAGGAAGCTTAGCTTATCAGTCGATCTGCTCAAATCTCAATTATTGTATTAGGACTTCCTAATATTTTAAAGATTCTAGAGGCATATGTGCCGGAAAATAATGCTATGATCGATTCGTATGTTTCCGCATATGAAATCATACATCGAAATATTCTTGCTATTGGAACGAAAAATTAAAGATAATTTCGAGCTGAAATTGATTTAATTTAATGGCTCCGATTCGCTCGTGGTTATTAATGAGCTTATTTGACTTCGCTTTACTTCCACATTCTGCACTGCGGAGTGCGGATTGCATATTCCTGTGATAGCCTTTTTTAAATTACCATAATTATAATAATAGTGCTATTTTATTTAGTAAAAAAGACAACTCAAGAATTTTAGTTATAACTCCCTATTGTTAGAGATAGATTCGTTCCTTCATAAAGCAGTCAGTATTGGACTGATTCTTTCTTTGAAAATTATTGTTTAGGAAGATATACAATGATTAATAACTTAGTATAAGAACACTAGCTATAAAATTCACAAACAATTTATTCCACAAATAATTCACAAAGCCATATAACAGAAGACAAAGACAATCGATTTGGTAACATTTGAAATCAATTCATCCTTCCATTTTGGGCACTTCATCTTCTATACTGGCGAGGATCAAGTTCTTGTCCGTCCCCGTGGGTTTTTTTGGCTCCAGAGCCGCCCTCATTTCCAACGCTCGAGTGTCTGTCTCCAGAGATTGTTCCTTATCGCCCAGGTCTATAGCGATCTTGATAGACGCTGCCTCCAGAGCGTTGTACGTAGCTCTGTAGTAAATATTACCATTCTTAAAATATTTTTGGGAAAAGAGAAGCGTAAGCTAGCTGCTGTGTTCCGGTGCTCTTTATAAGATTAGTCGGAATAATAAGACGCACAAACTGACAAATAAACGTACGTTGTTAATTTGTAATTACAAGAATAATTCAACTATTGCTAATGTCATATTTTATTTATAAAAATAAGATATGATTTAAGACCAGTATATCTAATGAGACATAAGATATAAGTTATAGAAAGACATTTGTTTTTTAGGATCTGTAAAATCTTGAATACATAAACACAAAGTTGGCTTTTGGAGCAATTCCAAAATCCCAATTATCCAACAGTTGCATTAAGAACTTCACGAAAGCCCACTTAAATGACCTGCGAAACCTAGTCGGAATTGTGTTCAGAAATGAAGTGCAAATTTTTCTGAACACATTATATCAGTACAGAGAATTCTCATTGTGGGAAAGTTTAAATGGATTTCTTATATGGTTAAAGTTAGTGTGACCTAAATAAGTATTGACCTCGTATTCATATTTTATATTTTAGTAACAAAAACAGTATAACAAAGGCGTGTAATATTTTTTTTGAACTCCTTTCCACACTATTCATAAAAATGAACTTAGGATTACTAACAATACGTTGAAAGAACACGATAGAAATAAATGTGTTAGTTATATATAAACTATTATTATTTTTGTATATTTGAAAGCATATACTTGATAAATCCTTTCAAATGTACCAAAACGTTTGTTGATTCATTGAGGCTTTATACATATATTAGATAAGAAGTTTTGTACTTAGCACAATCCTGCTTCTCCTGAAGTTGTCTTATCGTCTCTCTGAGGTTCCTCACTTCCTCCTTCATACCGATGTCAGCTTCGTCACCGGCCAATTCAATTCCAGGTCTGTACCCACGCGTCTCCAGTCGTGTTTCAGCAACCTTAAGCGCGTTAACTTTATCTGCAAATTGTTCTCCTATGGTCTTCAATTCTGTAGCCAACCTGTCCATATTTTCTTCCATCTATAATTTTAAAATGTTTCTTAGCTTACAAGGAAACACATTTGAATTAGATAATGTTAATTTTAGAAACTATTGTTTCCTATATATTATATCTGTCAAATTTCTAAGCATTCAATATGTACAAATTGTACTAAATACTTTCTTTTGTTTCCTCAGTTCGAATTTATCAATATTCTTTCTTATAATGACACTAGATTAGGCGCCTTTAAAAAAATACCTTCATTTTCTGCCACTGCAGCTCATTTCTTGCTCGTTGCGTTTCGTAGATTCTTCTCCTCATCATGTAGTTGGTGACATCAGTTTGCGCCCGTAACGCGTTCCTGGCACGACCGCGAGCTACAAACAAGGATTCACGAAGACGCAGAGTGTCTTGCAGCTCATCGATCGCCATTTTTTTAGTTGCCTCGCACTTTTGTAGCCATTGGTCGTAGGTTATCATACTGAAAATAACGTTTAAGTAGGCACTTCAGGACTGCATAAATAAAAAAAAATTGGGAAGTGACTCATAAATCTTCTATGGGGGAAAATTATAATTCCCTGATAAATATTGCCAGTTTAAAGTTGGACTATCTCTATTGTTTGAATATTATCTAGAGTTATATTAGTGATGCGAGCGACGAATTTTATATTATTAAACAAACCGTCTAGGAGTCTTCAATGAATCAGTTTTATATGTGATGTTAGCACAATCCTTGTCCAAATTGAGCATATCTTTGTCAATTTGGAGTGTCTCGTTCTTATCGTTGAGATCGAGCTGCAACTTAAACTTCACGACTTCCAGCTTGTTGATCTTCTCCCAAGCGGACTGACATCGGTCTATCAGCATTTTCTTATTGCTCTCGGTCACGCAAAGTTCCTGTGTTCAAAGTTCAAAAATCAACGACCTCTTTGAAGAAAGTTAACTATAGATCTAGCTTTAACTAAGAATATAAAGCTTTAGAATGAAAAATAATGTTAAATAAACACTAAGGTTCCATAAAACGCGAAATGATAGTTAAACTTATTTGAAAATGATTCGTGTAGGGCCGTCTTAAAAAAATTTTCAAATTATAATATCAATATAAGTGTTATAAATGTGCTATTATTCGCTAATCCATACAGTATGAAAATACATGTTACTTAGATTACTTCAAAATATGTCTGATCAATGTGACTGTGTAATTAATCCATCAAATCCATATTTTTACGAAATTTATTAAGCGGCCCCTTTTCCCAGGTTTTATTTTACTAATGTCATATTATGTAATATGAGGCTGCTAGAGGCAGAGTGGCGTAATAACAAAAACATTTTAAATAAGGAGGAAAATAAAAATGCGCAATTAACTTAGGCGAGAATGAATTTACTACTATTTGTGTAAGAATTATGTTAACCATTTTTGGTCACCTATGATCTTGTAGATTACATTTTTTAAAACTATAAACATATAAATAACTCCAGTCATAAAATTGCAGTTAGACTAGTCTGCCTCTAGCGGCCTCATATAAGTAATAAATAAATAAAAAAACAATGGTAACTTACTAACTAACTACCAGTTCTTTGAATACTTCTTTGATATTTTTATACTCACCTTCTTTAACTCAGTATCAGCAAGATCGTATGTAAGTTCAGAACTCATTCTACCATCTCTGTTGGACAGGCACTCAGAGCAGACCAATAAAGGCATATTGAGTTGCTCCAACTCTCTCTCCGTTGATGCCTTCTCTTCTTTAAGTGCTGCCATTTCTCTATCCAAACGCTCTAACAACTCCTGTAGAGTCGATTTCCATTGTTCTATTTCGTATACTCTGTAATTTGCATTTGTTATTATAAATATAAATCTATACTAATACATATATGAATCTGAAGAATTAGTTTGTTTGTTTGAACGCGGTTATCTCAGGAACTACTGCTGTAAATTGTAAAATGTTGTGGGGGTTAGTCTATATATTTATCAAGGAAAGCTTTTAGCTATCTATGTAACATCATGCCAACAAGGCCGAAGAAAGAATACGGAAATATGCTCCAATATATATATTTTCGTTGCGTGCAGTGCGAGATACCCAAAAAATATTTATTATTTGTTCATAATGATTCCTCTCCAACGATGTAGAAAAAAAGTATCCGCGATAGAATATGTCTATCGTTTAAGATTAATTTACAATAATGATGGGACGACGTAGTGGGTAACACTTTTTATTTATTTGAGGTTTACAAAGACCTATTTTTATTCCCAAAATAACTATTCTACGCGTACGAAGTGGTGGGCATAGTTAGTAGATACAGGAATGAAAATTAATTGATAAAGACTTGTAAATTAAGAGAACTCTATACATATGGCGCAATAAAACCATTAATGTTATCTATTCGTTGAGCGACATAATTAGCAGTGTTAAAATGAAACAATTTAATATTAAACTTTACACTAAAAACTATAAATAAAAACAGGTTCTATTAATAATTATTAAATTTATTAAAAACCTACTTTTATGTAGGAAAGTAGGTTTTTAATCGTTTAGTATTATGCGTGCAATCTATAAGTAACTTGTGTGAACTATATATCATGAGCACAATTATGCCTATATATAGCCTGTAGCCAAATGGTTAGTGGTGCCTAGGATCGCATTAAGAGAGAGAGGTTTTGGGTGTGAAATCCCGGGGAACTAAACTCTTCCGATCGAGAAGGGCACAACAGCATGGAACTGCCCCACGAAAATGGGATTTTACATTTTTATACTTTTGTTTACTGTGCTGTATTAAAATCTATACCTCGCACGCAGCCTATTGTTATTATGGTAGCTGTCCCAATCGGTCTTAATTTTGGTTTCATTTCGAAGTTGATACGAACTGTACCGAAGATCAAAGGCGTCCGCTCTCCTAGTGTCTGCTGTCACCTATAAAATGTGATCTATGTTACCTTTAGCCAAAAAGTGAAGCTTATATAATCCATTTTTAATCGAAAAAATTGAAAAATACTTATCCCAACACCAACCATATCTAATTAAGACACGCTTTCGACCTATTTTGACATTGAGTTTACTGTATTAGTCAGAAAACAACAAGCTTAACGCAGTAGGAATTTAAGCTAGACATTGCTACTATATAACGGTCGTGGCCAAGAATCTTTAAATCTTTGCTCCACAATAGCGCTATTGTTGGCGCTCAATCAAAGAAACATAAGTAACTTATTAAAAAAGGCTTAAAATAGTAAGTACAAAAGAACGAAACCTTCAAACAGTTTCATTTGAAAGCGCGATAATTTGTGCATTGTCTCTGCTCTAATTATTCCGGAACTCTAATGAGCCGAGATAAAAAAACTGACTTACAGATTTTTCAATTTGGTGTTTCTTTAATTACAAACAGCGCTGCATTTGCGAGTTAAAAATTCTTTTAAAACATTAAAGCGGGACAAGCGAAAACAATTATTCAGCCTGGGTGCAAACAGAGGAGAACCTTTGTTTCGGAGTTGATGTTTTTATATCCTTTCTGGTTCAAATATTTTTTCGAGAAAGATTGCTTTATCGCCCACACGTTTAAATGAAACACGAATTTTAACCCGACAGAATTTTGCTTTGGAAATTGTACACAACTGATGACGTTTCGTAATTATCTGTAGCTTACGTTCATAGTATACATTTTAACATTTTAACGGCTAAAACGCCCAATGTTTTGAAGCAGGCGTAATCTATCTGTCACATAATCTACTATTAATGACTAAACTATTTATTTTGTAAGCACATAACGCGATTAACAGACGAAATCCTCTAATACAGTAGTTACACGAGTATAGTAAAAGCTCAAATGTCTACACGTAACACAGTTGTATGATTTACGCATGTGACAATTTTGAAATCAATAACAAAGTAATATGAATACGAACGGGATCATTCCAACTTTTGGTTGAAAACGAAACTTCGAAACGAATATTTACGACGTGTCTTGTGACTGCTAAATAAATATCACATACCTTCGATATACAAAAAATTGCTTTGCTGTGGGCCATATATTCTGTATTCAAAAATAATATTCACTTAAGTTTATTTTGAGTTTATTGATTTGTGATATTTTTAAATACAGGGACACAAACAATTTTTTCGGTGAGGCAGGACACAGAAGTTTGATCAACTATTTGCTTGTTAAAGCACGGATCAGTGAAACAACATAGAAATGTTTTCGCCCCACGAGGGGGAAACGGGGTATCAGAAACATGAAGCCAATTTCAGTGACCAATATTTAAATTGTGTTACCAATTGTTAAATAAACTATCAATGTGGTTGGTTACCCATTTATAAATCGCGCCATCAAACCATCTAATAAATAACTAACCCACTAAGCGTTTTAAGCGAAAATTCGGCTTTTGTGGCGACATCTTGTCAAAATAGGTTTAGCAGCGTGTCCTGCGAGGGACAGGCGAAACTTTTCCAATTTACAAGCAAACTAGGCGCCGTAAAATTATTGAGCCAGTGTTTAAATTTGTACCGTATTAACTGCTATAGCCAAGAACTTGAATGGGAAAGTTCGTAGACGCTTATATGAAGTTGCACGTGTTTTGATGAGGTACATAAGCTTCAGGTAATATTACTTAGAGCAGTTGTTATGTTGTTGCGTGAATTGAGTTTATAACACAGACTTTTACTTGCTGATAACTGTGATATTTATTTCTTAATTTGAGTTTTACTCGGTACGGCTAATAACCAACGGGTGAAACAATCTGAAGACTCTAGCTTACCTGTAATCCGTACAATCTCGCATCCCAGTCAGGTAAAGTTAAATGTGGCAATGGCTTTTCGTAAGTCACTACGGACTGCATTCTGATAAAATTATTTACACATTAATATACTAGAAACATTTACACGGTTTTAAGTAAAAATTGCGTCAAAATGACGCTGATTGACAGACATGTTCGAATTCCAATTCCGAAATATTTTATGGCACATTGCCAGTTGCTGTTTTATTTAGTCTGTGGGATTAAAACATATGGGTAATATGGATAATAATATGTTAAAACCTTTATTAAACTGATAGACAACTAATAATATTATTACGTACTTTTATAAAAGATAGCAATCAGAATGCAACAATGTATTATTACTTAATTATTTTTTAATTTACATGTTTCTATTTATATAAAGACGTAAGGAAAGCTCTGCATAGAACGCTGTGTTGTGAATTATTTTAATGTAAAATCAATTTTTAATCTATATGTTGCATACATGTGAAAAATATTAATCTTTTCATATCCTCAAAAAAGTCAAGACCACGTAATTTTCACTATATCTATGATGAACTGAAGTGTTTATTATAACTATGGCATGTCGTACATTTGCAGGTCGTTAGTGTGGACACGCTCTGTTTACCCAACACGAGCGGCCAAGTTAACTAAACTTCTAAATAATCCCAGTATACTGACCTAGTTCATCTTAAGGAAAAAATAGAATGAAACTCTACTCTACTGTTTATCTAAACATAATGAAAGGGATTATGTTTACGTAACGTAATGTGAGTTTTCCTACAGTCTCGGCAATATCTGAATTTTTGAAAAGCTCTCAATTAAGAGACTAAAGCTTTTTAAAAAAATTAGTACAATTTTCACAGTAATTAATAAAGCAAATTCGTTTAAAAACTTCACATTGTTTTAAAGTTTAAGTATACAGTTACATTTAAATGAAAGATTTTTTAAGGGTTCAATACGCGAAATGTATTAGTTAAACTTAGTTAATGCTTTGCTGCAGTCAAGGCTATAGGGAAACGTCGGGCGTAATTAAAATAATTTATAAATAAGTTTAACTAATACCTCCATTTCGAGTTATGAAGCGTGGAAAGTTTACTACTCGCTTACTACATTATATGTTTAATAACCTACTAACATTTAGATTCGACAATGACGTGAAGGATTCAGTAGCTCAACTGGTTAGAGCAACAGCACGGAACGCTGACGACGACGGTTCCAGTCCTGCCCGAGTCGTACCTACATTAAAAAAAAATATTTTCGAATTTGTTCTATTTCCGAATGCATTACTTACATTTTCTTTATTCATTCCAATGGTGCAAAACAATAAATTGCTCCGCCCATTGCTCTCCATTCTAGTATATAAGTTGAATTTGTAATATTTTTATTTTTTTTGCAATAAAGAATATATAAATATAAATAAATAAATGGATCTTGGTGTTCAGAACACGATTACGCCACTTGCTTTTCTTGATTCGAATTAGAAATAATAGACATTTTTTAAAACTAAATATTCTTTAGCCTAAAGTGTTAACTACGAGTGACCACGTGAACAGATTAGCTATAAGCTATAAAATCCCAAGAAAATGACTGAGTTAACCAATCGCAATTTAAGTCAAGTCATTACGCCTCAAGTTCTTTTATCACATCAACATGGGCTCTATCGTGTGTAGTCATAAATTTCGTTACAATTTCTTTTCTGTCTGGAACGACGCCAGTCGCTCCACTTACAATAGGCATCGGCGCTGACCACATGAATCAGGAAGAATGGTGCATTAAAACAGTACTGCTTGTAAGTAGGGTGATTTATATACATTCAAGAAGCGGCTAAGGAACATAGTGAAATATATCTGGTTGCTAATATCAGTTGAAATCAAGAGTTAGGATGTAAAGCTTATCACAAGTACTAGTGTAATTTCTTAGTGTTTGTGTGTATAATAGAGAAAATGTCAAACAACCTCGCTTGAGTTAGCTCGGCCTCTGAAGGGGCCACAGAATACCAGTGTTGGGACATTAGTCTGAGTGGCTTCCTTTTCAGAGGGAACTATATTGGTGTATTTATTTAATTAAATTTGTATGTTTATTTGTCGTTTATGTGTTGTTTCTGAATAAACATATTTCTATTCTATTCGTATATTCAAAGTAAATTAGCTATGTCATCTTTTGCCACTACTTGAGTGACCAAAGCTTATAAAGGTGGTCAGCCTATCATATGTTTTTCAAAAAAATATATATTTCAGTGTACTATCTACTTCAATATTAAGGTATATGAGAAATTTTATCAATTTTTGTTTGTATGTTAAGTTAAACGTTATTCTATTACATATACATTACAATACATACAAATTGACCACCGCGTAGTTATTTTGGGGATAAAGAAATCAGATGACAACAATAGAAACTACCCACGTATTCTTGATACGTTATAATATGTAGGTGGTATTATAATTTTCTTGTTGTTTGTTTTATTATCTTTCTCTTGGTTATAACAGATACCGTATGTTATGTTATAGATTTGATGCCTTTTGAGTGTAGGCGTGGCGTAGCTACGTAGGCGAAAAGTATATTGAATTAAAAAGAGATGTAATAAGCATAGCTAATTTTCTTTATAAGAAGAAGCATTTTAAGAAACGCTCCATATTATTTTCTGAAAATACTGTAAAATTATAATTATCACTTCGTTTCACAAATATATTCGATTCCCGTTTGCTCTCTAAAACAAATAAATTTATTACATTTTTAAACTAAATACTGTTTGTATTTTACGCGAGCAACAGCGGTTTAAAACGAAATTTAAATTAGTTAAACCTATATAAAGGTTATTTTAACTACGGCCCGACGTTTCCGTCTCCCCGTGACCACGACTGCTGCAAAGCATTAGAAACGTTGGGCCGTAGTTAAAATAATCTTTAAATAAGTTTCACTAATTTAAATCGCGTTTCAAACCGTTAAAGTGTCTTAATTAAATACTTTAACTACGTAACGATAATTGAAGGTTATAAAATTAAAAAACTAGGATGCACAGTGTAAAAATACTAAAGAAATTCCGCACCAACTAAAAACATCCATAAATAAAACTGTACGCAATACAATGTAACAGATTACCAGCTAATTTATAAAACTGAGTAGATTGTTTTCAATAATAAATATTATGATGCATTAGTTATTTTGTATAAGGGGCGCGGACGAATTCGCGGGCTGAGCTAATACAGCACAGCATAGTAAAATAATAATTACGTTAATTTTTATAGCAGTTCTTCTTTAGAACTAAATTCCTCTATACCATAATTCAAATATCAATAGCCCTCACTGTACAGACACCATTCCGGAAACCTATAGAATTTGAAAAGGAATAAGTTTTACCACACCATTAATTTTTATGTTCGCAGTAATTTTTCCTCGACAGTGCATACTATTGTTTATGATATTAGAAATATTCCGGACTCTATCTACATTCCTTGCAGCTGGAATTCTATTGAGAACGCTGTCTTCATATTATTATCTTTATTATCTGCTATGTTGGCGGAAGCTGTTCGATTTTTAGTATTACTCTCTGGAATTTCATTAGAGTTGTCAACACAAACAAATTACTGATCAAGCTTTTATTTTATCAGTAATTGACATATTTGTTACATTTTGAAACACCGATGCCTAGTATGTGAGACGGTCTATTTCACTAATTCTGATTCAGAACTGTTTTGCCCTGTCCGGGATTGAAATCTAAGACCAGTCACGCTTAACGCGAAAACCATAGATGCAATAAACAAATAAGCCCGTTTAGTGTGTTAGTTAGAAGTGATAAAGGTAATCTATGTTGCTTATTTAAAAATTGAGGAAAAGCTTGTCTACAACAGCTGCATGTATAAGTGAATAAGAAATCAGATAGACTGAAAGTGTAACGCGTTACGTAATGTAATGTTACCTCGTAGGAAGGTGTCTAATATAAAAAATAAGAGTTTTCCACATAACAATGATATCTTGTCTATACAAATAGTACATACTACACATTGTTAGAAAAACCTGTTGCGGTTTTGTATTGCAAGAGACTCAGTTTCTCATATTGAAGCATTTTTTAATCTATATCTCACGACACCAGTCCAACTTGTGCTAAGGAACTGTCTATAATAATATACATGCATTTAGATTTAGCTATATGTTGTTGTGTTGTGAATACCAACTTTTATTTTAATGGTATAAATAATATTGTTACATTAGTTCTACTTATTATAAGGGACAGCTATGTAATCAGCTGATTTTCTTTCAAGTATATTGTATAACTTTTAATTAAAACACTTTATCGGTTTAAAACGCGATTATATAAGTTAAACTTATTTATTTGTTTGGTTTTAAACCGTTAAAGTGTTTTAATTAAATGTGTACTACTCGCATAAACTATAGACAGTATATTGTATAACTCTAATTATTTATTACTATATCATGTGTGTCAGCCACATAATTATTTCTATTGAAATAGCAAACGACGTCTATTTATGTGCGATAACAACCATCTGGGATTTCTTAACAAACCAAACCCAAGTAATTGATTGAGCGCAGTTATTAATTAAGTTGAAAAGTGTCGTGGAATTTCAGTCACTTCCTTGTTCTTGGTTACAGTTCGGGAGTCTGTACAAATTACTTACGAAGACCTCTAGCTCATCTATTATTTACTCTCCACGGAAATCTTGTTGGTAATTTGATAGTACCTACAACATTATTACAATAATATTGTCAACAAGAATGTATCTATATTATAAGGCTGGAATGTCGGTTTATTCAAACGTGCTAATTTCAGGAACTACTGACTCGAATTGAAAAAATATTGTGTTGGTTAGAGCATTTACCAAGCAAGTATTTAGTCTATAAAACATTAGGCTGTAACCAATAGGGGCGAATAAAGTGCGGATTATGTAAAACACGGGGAAATCTGTTGCGTGTGCTGCAAAAACGCAAACCAAAAAATACGTACACAGAATGTTTCTTATTTAAATGATAAAAAATATAATACTGACTAGATAGTACCGTTAGTTGATAAATTTAGTGAAAATTGAGCCGTAGTATTAGTGCTACCATTGGAAATACAA